AACGATTTATCCATATTGGTTCACCACTTGTAATGAATGTGAACCCGGCCAACACACAACACAGGTTTTGGTAAGGCAAGATATGAATAGAGGAAACTGGGGGTAAAGCGTATGGGGGTGTTCTCTGCACTGTTTGCTGAATATTTCTGGAAATATAAAATTTTCCTATGAAAACAATCTATTAATTATAAAATAATAAACGGGAAGTAGAGAATAAGTAGAAATATAGATGAAATAAGAATATACAATATTGATAAATGTTGAAAATAGGGGATAGGTTCATCAGTTTATTATACTTTTCTGTTTAAGACTTTCCACAATAAAGTTTTAAAACTCCAGATCAAAAAATTATATATATAAAACAAAAGAAATAAACAGGCTTTTTTTTTTAAATCCTCACCTGAGGGTATTTTTTCCATTGATTTATAGAGAGTGGAAGGGAGGGAGGGGGGAGAAGGAGAAAGAGAGAAAGAGAAAAAAAAAACACAAACGTTGATGTGAGAGACATTGATTGGTTGCCTCCTGTACAGGCCTTGACTGAGGCTGGGGATCGAATCTAAGACCCAGGTATTTGCCCTTGACCGGGAATTGAACCAGTGACCCTTTGGTGCAAGGGCCAATGCTCTAACCAGTGATCCCACCATTCAGGGCTAAACAGGTTTTTTTTTTAAATAAGTATTAGATTATTAATCAGAGGGAATGGTTGATTAATACTTGACAGAGAGTGAATACCCTTGTTATCTCAGAAACATCCATCCCTCCGTGAGCAAGGTGGGCACTGGCACAGGTAGGAAAGTGACAAAGAAATATTGGTAGGGAAATATGTTCACCCTCACTGGTTCAGAAATGCCAACGTACCCTGATACAACTATTTCAGGTTTTAAAACGCTGTAAACACCTGGAGTTAGAACAGATTTAAGGACAGATCACTACATCCTGTGAGAAGAACAATCAGCACCAGCTTTCCAGAGGGTAACTGGGACCAAACCCTAAATCCTAGAACCCATTGCCCACTGGCCTAACTGCTCTGTCCAAAAATAAAGGGTTTGGCTAAAGATAATGGACTGAATAAACACAGGGATAGCCCCTTCAATATGAAACCTATACACAATGATCAAAAGACTCCCTCATTGATGAACAAATTCTTTTTTTTTGTTAATCCTCACCGGAGGATATCTTTATATTACTTTTAGACAGTCGAAGAAGGGAGGGAGGGAGAGAGAGATTGATTTGTTGCCTCCCACATGCTCCCTGGACCAGGCAAGGGAACAAATCTGGAACCCAGGTATGTGCCTTTCACCGGGAATTGAACCTGAGACCCTTTGGTTCGAGGGCTGACCCTAACAGTTTAGGAACACCAGCCAGGGTGATGAACAAATTCCTAATAGCACTGGGAACCAACAAGAGAGCAGACATTTTGAGGAAGACAAAGAGAGACAGCAGGTGGTGACCACAGATCCAGTTGGAGCTCTGGGCAGGCCTTGGAGACCAAGCCAGGCACCTTCTCTCCCTCCCACTCTTCCCACTGCCGCTGGAATCCTGCATCCTCCCCTCCACTCCAGCCAGCGACCAGCCTCGTACCCTAGTGAACACAGCAGAAGCTCAGACAGGCTCTTATTCTCCGTACAACCTCTGTCCCCTTGCTCTCCACCCCTCCCCAGGCCCTGGAGCCCAGCCCAGCCCAGCACCGCCTCAGGGCCCAGCATGCTCCTCCCTGGCCTTTTCATCCTGGCCCACACTCCCCTCAGCAAAGATACCTGCTGGCTTGTCTCCACACATAAAACCCCATTGAAGCCATGCTCCCTTTTGGCAGCTATCCACTTTTGCAACTCCCCTCTTAAATAAGGCTAAACCTCTTAAAATGCCTTATTGCTGCCCCCCACCCCCATCCAGCTCCATTCTCGCCACTCCAAGGAGATTGTGGTCACCAGTGACCCCATGTGGCTGAGTTTAGCCATCTTTCCTCCATTCTAATCAGAGCTGTATCCAACTCAGCCAAGCACCCCTGCTGTCTGAATGCTCTTATCCTTGCTGGCTAGCATGACTCCGAGCACCCCTTGCTCCCATGACTCCGAGCACCCCATGGCCCCATGCTCCTCCCTTCCCAGATCCTCTGCAGCTGCACCTCTATAAACACAGCCTGCTCCTGGGCTAGACCTGAGCCCCTTCTCTAGCTACACAGTTTCTCCAGGTAACCTTATTCAATTCCATGGCTTTAAACACCTCTGACCTCATCCGACACAGCAGACACCGCCCCCCCCCCCCCACACACACACTGTGGACACACATACAAAACTGGCACCATCACCTAATACCTCATACTCAATCATACTCATACTAAGTATCTCATACTCAATTCCTCGCAAAATTTTACTGTCATATGAGTTCCAAAAATATCAGAAAATATCTCCAAAAAGAAGAAAAAAATCTGGATACAATAAATAGTGGTGAATAACCAGTAAAATGTATACTTACAACTAAATATGGTTGTTTGGAGGGGAAAATGAGAATACAGAACCAAGACCACAGAGGGTCTGGCCCTGGGGAGCAGAAAGTAAGGAGCTAGGAGAGTAGAACACAGGGACTGATCAATTCAAAGTAGTTACTGAAAGATAGGCTTCAATGATTTTTAAAAGCTGAAAGACATCCACTAGAAGAACAGGGAAGAAAACAAGAAAGCTTACCAAATTAAAAAATAAAACAGAACATCAGGCCCAAATTTCAACTTACCAATAATCAGAATTGTAAATGGGTTAAATTCTCCATAAAAAGACAAAAGCTCTCAGACTGAGTTAAATGTAACTGTAAAATAAAGGGAGCCCTGGCTAATGTGCTCAGTGGTTGGAGCGTTGTCCTGTGCATTAGAAGATGTCAGGTTTGATTCCCAATAAGGACACAGGCCCAGGTTGCAGGTTCAGTCTCTGGTTAGGATGCATGCGGGAGGCAATTGATTGATGTTTCTCTCTCTTTAAATCACCCTTCCTCTCTCCCTAAAAAATTTTTTTCTTTAATTAAAAAAAGAGGATATAAAAGAGTTGAAAATAAGGAGATAAAGAAGACTTTAAATGAGACAAAAGGGGGTTTCCTGTAAGAATCAGGGACACATATCTATAACAACATGATCTCCAAATAAAAAGCAAAATTAGGCAGAGAAAGAAACAGACCTGTTGACTATTACAAATAAGCTAGATCCAGCTTATTCTGCCAGTAACCGACTGGTGGAGAGGACACATTTTTCTCAAACCACAATGAAACACAAAAACAGGCTAGATTAAGCCACATTGAAATATCAAGATTCCAAAAAAAGTAGGTCTCATTAAGTGACTATATAACTGGAACTTAAAGCAATAAAATTTAAGCATAATTACAAATAAATTAGCTCCCCTCCTCCAATCTACCCACTTGAAAAACTATAAACTTCCTTCTACATAACCTGGGTTAAAAAGGGTATCAGGAATGAAGTTAGAAACGACTTAGAAACGAGTAGCAATGAGAGCAACATGAGGCAAATCCACACTGAGGCCAAAGGGACCAAAGAAGGGCTTAGCCCAGCCATGGGCAAACTACGGCCCGCGTGCCGGATCTGGCCCGTTTGAAATGAATAAAACTAAAAAAAAAAAAAAGACCGTACCCTTTTATGTAATGATGTTTACTTTGAATTTATATTAGTTCAGACAAACACTCCATACATGCTTTTGTTCCGGCCCTCCGGTCCAGTTTAAGAACCCATTGTGGCCCTTGAGTCAAAAAGTTTGCCCACCCCTGGCTTAGCCTCAACTGGAGGTATGAGGAAATATACATGTACAAGAATAAGCTCAGTCCTCAGTCCAGGAGTCAGAACCACCACAAAATGAAACTGAAGACAAAATGAAACTGAAGAAAGTAGAAAAAGTGAGGATTAATGAGGCAGAAACACGAAGGCAGACTTGAACAATGGAGTTGAGGGTTGGCTGTTTGGAAAGACCTACTGACAAACTTTGGGACATTTGACCAAGATGAACAGAAAAAGTAACCAAAAAGCAACATCGAGAAACAATAAAAAACAGCTTAAAAATGACAAGAGAATACAGTGTCACTCTGACCAGGACATCGTGGTCCTCACATGAGCTGCTCCTCCCCCAGGTGCATTTGGAAACACAAAGGACAGATTTTAGCTTTTGCTTCTGTTTTGTTTGATAGTGGTTGATGTCCTGGGGGGTCCAGGAAGTTCTGAACAGCCTGTCACACAAGAATCTCCTGAAGTGTTAATTACATCTCCGAAGACAAACTCTGATCCAAATTAAATGAACAATGTCGCAGGATGTTTTCATGTATCTATAACAGGCAAAAGATCCTATCTCCAATATGTAAAGAATAGCTACAAACCAACTTTTATAAGTACTAATCAGTAAAATAGGGGGGGGAAACAGAAACATAGCCAATAAACAAGTAAAAAATAAACTCAACCTTTTTGTATAGGTACCAAGATATGTAGGATAAGCATAGAAAGTAATCTAAAAGATCACACAACAAATGTTAACAGCAACAGGGAGAAAAGCTGGGAGGTGGGGGAGAAGGAATTTTCACCATTTCTTAGCCTGTATTTTTCTGTAGTGTTTTAATTTCTACAGAAGACAATGTATTCTACTTGAAGAGATGTTTAAAATCTTATTATTATTAATGTTCAAAATTATTTAACCTTAAGGATATTCATGGAAATGTGATTGAAAAGAAGCTCTCTAATAAGTTTTCTACATCTATTTGATTTTACATTTAGATCCTAACCCATTTGCAATTTGTGTGAGGTATGCCATAGATGTTCACCTTACCCCAGGCAAGGGGAAACCAAGTGTTGGGACCCCATTCACTGAGTAGCTGACCTCATAACTAGACGCCTCCCGGCTGCTGGAGGTAAGCTTTCCCACCTGAGTCCCTGTCTACCGGGTCCAGCTACTACCAGAGCCTCATCGGAGCAAGACCCACTAAGGGACAGGCAGTGGAAGCCTGAGGTGGGTACTGACCGCGGCCGGGTGCTGGCAGGCTGCTCAGGCTCAGCATGCTTCCTCTCTGCAGTTTGTCCAGCTTCTCCTGCAGCTTGCGCACCTGGCTGTCGGAGCGGCTGACACGCTGGCGTAGGCTCCTGAGCTCACCATTCTTCTTTTCCACCTGCTTCCAAAGGCAGCAAGCCCGGCTCCGGTTCTGCCGCGCAGAGAAGCAGTAGGAGTGCAGCGAGTCGATGAGCTTGCAGGCACCTGAAGCTGACAGAATGACCTCGTTGATGGACATGGGGCTGGCGTCGCTGTGCTCACTCTGCACAGCCTCAGCGGCTGGCTTTGGGGTGACGTCTGTCGGAGGGGCAGAGGGACTTTGGGAGGACTTCTGTGGTGTCGCAGTCAGAGATGAACTTGGGGGGCTCTGCCCCAGGCTGGTCCCACTGCAGCCAGGCTCCGTGTCTCTCTTCGGCCTCTTCCGGTCCACAGGTTCCCGGGGGACGTATGGCCTCTCTCGGGTGTGCCTGGAGGAGAAACTGTAAGAATGAAGTGAGCCAATAAATTTGCAGGCCCCAGATCCTGGGGGGGTAAAGTCATCCATGGAGATGCCACTCTTATCCACCAGGTCCTTGTCGGGGGTGATGCTGCTCTCATCACCAGCATCGCATGCAGGCCCATCTGCTTCGGCCTGGCTGCCTGAGGCTTTCGTGGCCAGAGCATCACCCGGGGGTCCCTGTGTAGCCTGCTCCTGACTGGGGGCTTCACTCTGCAGGGAAGCCCGCTTCAACTTGCGGGACTCTGGCTTAGTCTTCAGGTTCTCACTTGAGGGCGATGGTGAACCTGCATCTCCTTTCCCATCAGCTTCACTTGCACGTCCCCTCAGGCCCCCTGAGGCCTTTTTGGTGTCCTTTCTCCTGCTGCGGCCATGGCCTCCAGACCCCCTCTTCTTCTCCGTCAGGTGGAAGATGGAGGGCACCGCTGTGGGCTTGAGCAGGCGGTGTTGATCCTCCAGCCTTTTGGAGAAGCTGTCTTTGGTGAAATGCTCACTACAGAGGAAAGAATACTTAGTAGGGGTCCAGTTGTCCCTCTGAACAGCTTTTAACCACTGGATCAGACGCTTTGAGTCCTTCAGAGGGAACCTACAGGACAAATGGCAAAGGAATTAGAAAGAAATAATTACATGTCTCCACCTAAAATGATCAACTATAAAAGCAAAACAACTATTTTTGAAAACACCCAAACCTATATGGACTTTACCCATTTAAAAATTTGATAAATACTTAAGGAACGCATTCTACTTACACATTACTACTGGAATGGGAAGATGGAAGACCCGTTGTTTACTCTGAAGGAGCTTACAGTTGCAGGGCAGATAGGAATGAAGGCAGATAACTCCTACCAGAATGTTAGGAGAAGTATAGGATAGCATACAGACATCAGGAAAAGCTCCAGGAAGCCCTGGAAATAATTCCTAGAAAGTCATGGCTCAGCAACCCTGCCAGTGTGCCTAGGATGCAGGACTTCGGGTGCTAAAAGTGGGATGGTTGGTCGCCCACTTAGAAGCCAGACCAGGTGTGGGCCAGCAGAGCATCCCAGAAGCCCAGCACTGTGATTCAAGCAGCTGAGGATGGGAGATCAGCTCTCCGAGAACGTCAGACTCAAAGGTGTAGTTCTGTGTTCCTACTACACTCCCATCCCTGGAAGATGCTGAATAAGACACTGAATGACCACTTCTCATTAAGACAAGATCTACTTAGAAAACGCTGACCATTTGCTCCCTCTAAGGTCACGTAACACACCCGAGGCCGCTGTGGACAAGGACAGGGTAGAATCTCCAACTTCAGGAAGTTCTCCTCGACATGACCTCCTAAACTTCCCAACGATCCTCAATTCCCATGCCCTTTGCCCCCACACGTTAGACCACCGTGAATGCCAAGGTGGGTCTGCTCTGCAAGGACTCTATCTCATTTTCAAAATGGTAACAAAACTTTTGGGACCAGAGGCTCCCAAGGAAACTGAGGAAAGCAGGGTGGCTGCTCTAAATAGTCTAATGTTACTTTTGATAAAGTGTAACCACTTAAAACTTAGTGCACCACAGCAAGCTTTCCTTAAGACCATAAGTAACAAGTGTCACTCCGGCTTTAAAAATTAAATACTAATGTCCTGCAACATACAGGTACACCCCTCCAGCTCACTGTGGGGGGCCTGCTGTGCCTAGGCCGGCTTCAGAGGCCTCCTGAAGGGAAGAAGGCAAGACCCTCGCCCAGCAGGGCCCACAGCAGGGGTCCAGGGCCCATGGCCCCTTGCAGCCTCCAGGGGGAAGCCGGCAGGGAAGTGCCACCCACTCCAGGACAGGAGGCTATCGGGCCCCTCCAGGGACTCACCTTACCGCTGGGGCACAGCTACCTTTCTGCACCCAGGACTGGGGGCCCTTCCAGCCACTGAGCGCCTGGAGCGCGTGTTAACACCCGATGCATGAGACGCATTTGCTCCGCCACACTCCTGATGGCAGAGATCAAGGCAGCCTCCCCCGCGATACAACAGGGACAAGTCACAGCCAATGGAGAGGACAACTGACCTAGGAAGAGGCTGCCAGAATACACTGCTTCTGGAAACCCGCGGCGCCAACTCGAATCAATGGAGCGCGGCGGCCGCAGGGGTGGGGGCGAGGGAGGTGAGGACGCGAGTGGTCGCCAGGTGGTCGTGGGATGGCCTTCAAGTGGCCCTAGGGTACGCGAGGGGTGGGCGCCACTGGCCGCGGGGTGGTTCCCGGAGGGCGCCGCTGGCCGCGGGATGGGCGCCGCTAGCCGCGGTGCCCGGCCCAGAGACGGCGGCCCCGGCCAAGGTCACACAGCGCCCGGCGCTGACTCACTCGCAGGAGCGGCCCCAAGGCCTGGCGCGCAAAGTGCCCCTCGCGCCGGGCCGCGCGGCCTCAGTTTCCCCGGTGCCGAGCCGGGCCCGGCGGGGGCGTGGTCAGGCCGAGCGGGCGGTGGGCCGGGCCCGGTTACCTGTGGAAGGAGACGGCGCGCTTCTCCCCTTTGCCCTGCCGGTTGGAGCAGTTCGCGGCCGCGCAGCAGATCACCATCTCGGGCCTCGGGCCGCCGCGCCGCCACCAGGCTCCGGCCCTCGCCTCGTCGCGCCGAGCCCGGAGCGGGACCGCCCCGAGGGGAGGCGCGCGGCGACACGGCTGCGGGACGTGGGAGCCAGCCCCCGCGGCGCCGTACGGCAAGATGGCGGCGCCCGCCTCCCCGCCGCCGGTCGCCGGCCGTCGGCGCGCCCAGGGTCTCAGGCACCCAGAGTCTCAGGCACCCAAAGGGGCTCTGCCCGCGCTTCGAGGCTCTGGGGGTGAGCAGGGGCACCCGGGCCGGCGGTCCGTACAGCGACATGACGCGCCGACCCGGCCGTACGGCAAGATGGCCGCGCCTGCGGGTGCGGGCGCACGGCGGGATGACAAGCTCGCCCCGAGGCCTCTCTGCCCGCCTGCGCCTGCTTCCACCGCCCCGGTGGGTCGTTGCTGGGCTCCTCGGAGAGCGCGCCGGAGGCCGTCGGGGTGCCGAGCGCACGAGGAGGACGCTCCGTGCCGGACTCCTCCGTACGTCAAGATGGCAACCGGCGCACAGCCGCGCGCACTTCCGGCCCCGCCCGCGCCCCGGATTGGCCCTGGCGGCGGCCCGTCGCGTCGCGCTGCGGACCCGTAGGACCGACGCGGTGTTCAGTCGGCGGCCGGAGAAGGAAGATGGACGCAGGTAAGGACCTGCTGGGACGTTGGGGACCCGCGGACGGCGTTCTCCTGGCTCCTCGGCTGCTGGGGAGTCTCCCGGCGCGGCCTGGGCGCGCGGAGTTGGGTGGGCGGGGTGCGGCCCCGGGAGGAGCGGGCGGGGCGTCGTCGGTGGGGAGGCCGGCTGGGATCTGACAGCCCCGTGTTTGCGGGTCTCGGCGCTTCTCCAGCCTGCCTGCAGCGCCCGGTGACCGGCCTGGCAGGCCCAGGGCCGGCTCGGCCGAGAAGGGGCAGTGGGGCGCCCGGGGCGGGAGGGCGGGGTCGGGCATCGCTAGGGGCGCGGGCGGTGGTAGGTCCTGAAGCGGCGGTCGTGGGAAGCTGTTGCCTCTGCCCCGCTGGGAGTTACGAAGTGGAAACACTTTAACTTCTGTAAAGTTATGTCGGTGGGCCGGAGGCAAGAAATATGCTCAGCACTCTCAGCACACGCACCGTGTTTGGGTTTTTAATTTTTAAAGTAACCAATACACTACTTTTTCTGTGATTTAAAATAGAAACTGGAGCCATCTTTTATATCATAACTTCTCGGGGTCCTAATGCCAAGTCGGGTGGGAGGGTGTATGCGCACACGTCTGTGTGTGGGGTGTTCCCGCCTAGCCTGCTGTGCTTCTGCAGCTTAAATTTTGCTGGCAAGGCATTTTGTATCTTTGTCCAGGAGCCTTGAAAGCGTTTTTACCTGGACGCTCTTCTCCATTCCATAGTTTTAATTCTTTCACCCCTCACCCCCAATAAAGGAAGACTTTCATCTGGGTTAATTCCTCCTATCCCATGGTCTCTGCTTCGTTTTTCTTTTCCTGGCAGCTGTAACATATATTTACTGAAATCTCCGTTTGGAAACTGTAAAATAGACGTGTATTGCCAGTATTACTTTCAATGATTTGTGGCATTTCCTCACTTAAATGGTGGGTGGCTGGAGGAAACAGTAGCCCCGACTCCCAAAGGATCCTGTTAGCCACACATTTTTTGTCCAGTTCATTACAAAGGAAAAGGTACCGGACACTGTTGTACTATTAGCTGGGGCAAAGGGTAGAGAAGGAATAGAATTACTTGTCCACTTTAAGTTACTACTGCTCAATACGTAAAGTCAGTCATATGAGAGAGTTGGTTTAGGTGGAAAACAGTTTAATGGTCACGTTACCTGAAATGTGGAAGTCATCATGTTAAAGTTGGGAGTAACCACCCTGGCTGGGTGTATCAGTTGGTTGGAGCATTGTCCCATATACAAAAAAAAAAAGGTTTCAATCTCCACTAGGGCAAGTGCCGGGGAGGGAGGGCAAGCTGTCAGTGTTTCTCTCTCGCATCAATGTTTCTCTCTCTCCCTCCCTTCCTGTCTCTCTGAAATCAATAAACATATCCTCTAGTGAGGATTTGTTTTTTTAATTATAAACTTAGGAGTAGCCATGTGATGATACCCTAATGAGACACTCAAGGCTGCTTCAAAGCAGGAAAAGTGTTTGCCTTTGAAGGCCTGTGTTGATGCTGATAAAAACGTATGTGGCGGTTGTAGGGTGTGGTGGGGAGCTTTCTTCTGACCTGACGCTTACATCCTTTTAGGGGTAATTAATGGCCCACCTTCCTCTGATCCCTCTGTCCTTACAGAGTCTGCCTTCCTTGATCAAGTGTTCTGAGATTCCTACTTGTTTTCACAGTCATACATTCAGTAAACCACGTTTATTATTGTGCAGAAGGTTTGTGTTGGGCATTGTTCTAGCCAGCCATGGGCAAACTACGGCCCGCGGGCCAGATCCGCCCGTTTGAAATGAATAAAACTAAAAAAAAAAAAAAGACCGTACCCTTTTATGTAATGATGTTTACTTTGAATTTATATTAGTTCACACAAACACTCCATCCATGCTTTTGTTCCGGCCCTCCGGTCCAGTTTAAGAACCCATTGTGGCCCTCGAGTCAAAAAGTTTGCCCACCCCTGTAGACCCTGGGGTTAGAGAAGTGAAAAAAAATAGATGATAACCATGCTCTCCTCACATTCCAGACGTGACACCAGTGGCATGGGTCATGTGGAAGAGTGATGTGGGCCAAGCAGGGGGGTTGGAGTTGGAGCCAGGATGGCCAGGGAAGGTCTCACGGCAGAGGTAAGTTTGACCAAGACCCAGAAGCAGTGGAGAAGGAGGGGCAGGTGGCATGCAAGGAGCAGCAAGTAGGCCAGTGTGCCCAGGGCACAGTGAGTGGGCTAAGAGAAACAGAAGCTGGAGGCAGAGAGGCGACTTGGGCTCCAGCATGGGGCCTCGCTGAGTCATGGTAAGGACTTGGGCATATGCTTATCCTGAAGGATATGGTGACGCTCTGGAAGGTTTGAGGAGTAACCAGACTGGAGCAGACTCACTCTGGCTGCTCTGTTGAGACTGTGCTGCAGAGGGATAGAGCAGCAGCAGACAAGTTAGGAGGCTCTTGCAGTGGGCCAGGCAAGAGGTCTGGGAGTCTGGGTCAGGGTCGGGAGAGGAGGCTGAATTTTGGTGTGGAGATGAAGGTGGAGATGATACTGCTGTGTACAGATGGGCAGTGGTGAGGGGTGGCGATGGAGAGGAAGGAGTTAAGATGGTGACGAAGTGTATGTATGGCCTGAGCTCAGAAACTAGATGGGGAACACTTGGGGATATCCTGCCTGGTGGGGAACTCTTGGGAGTCAGTTTTGTACATGTTGATATGTACACGGGGTACCATCAGACATTTATATTGTGATGTCTGGGGAACATTGGATCCATGGGCCTGGAGCTGAGGGAGTAGACCTGGTCTAGAGGGACACATGTGTGGAAGGCCACTTTGAGTGAGGTCACTGAGGGTTTGAGTGTGGGAGAAAAGAGGAGGAGCCAGGGAGGGGATGGCCCAGGGCTGCAGGTGCTTAGAGGTCCAGAAGGTACCAGGCTGGCTGTCTTCTTCACTGAGCCTCCAGCACTGTCCATCAAAACGCACTCCTGGTTCAGGGAATGCCAGGCCCAGCATTTAAATGGCCACACTGGCCTGACTGGTGTGGCTCAGTAGTTGAGTGTCAACCCATGAGCTAAGAGGTCACAGTTCGATTCCTGGTCAGGGCACATGCCAGGGTTGCGGGCTCCATCCCCAATAGGGGGCGTGCAGGAGGAAGCTGATCATTGATTCTTATCATTGATGTTTCCGTCTCTGTCTCTCCCTCTCTCCCTTCCTCTCTCTGAAATCAATTTAAAAAAACAAAAACATAAATGGCTGCACTGTCCATTCTATGAAGACAGAGCAGTATCTTATACTTGCATCTCCAGGACTTTATATTGTGTCTGGCATGTACATGACTGGTAATTGAAGAAGAACAACTTGAATTAATAACTTGCACATTCCTGTGCTTTAAGAATTTCAGTTGTAGAGCTTGTGTATAGTACAGATCCGGTCTGTTGGTGTAAGGTGTCTGTGAGTGAGAAGGGCTGCTCACGGCAGAACAGTGAGGTTAATGTGGACATTCTGTCCCCTGTGTTCACTGAGGCAGTGCTTTCCAGTTTCCTGGTGGTGCTAAAGTTCCTGTTTCTGTCCCATCCCTTCCCTTCCATTTCTTCTGTTCCCTCCCTCCCTCCCTCCCTCCCTCCCTCCCTCCCTCCCTCCCTCATTTCATTCAGAACTGAACCACCAGCATCTTCATATAAAGTATTTGAGATTAAAAAAAAAAAAACTACTTGCAAACATGTTTTCTTAATTTGTTTCTAAAGGAAGGGGAGACCCCTTCACTTGATTTTATTTATAACGGAGAATCTTTCAGAATACAGCAGTATTTGGGGGAAATATCATGGAAACATGATAAGCTCTCAAAGAAATCTAATGGTGAAATGTTTTGTGGTTTTCTCTGATTGAATCTGAATGACAATATGATTGGTCTAAGTGCAGAGAAGTTAGTTATATTCCTTGAGCACAATTCCCTAGTTTTCTATTATATTAATCATATTAAATTGAAACTTTTTTCTAATGGAGCTACCATGCTGTTAAAGGGCTTTCTGCATCCTGTTCCAGGTGTGCTCAGGGATATCCCAGGAAAGATGTGGAAAATCAGGCGTCTGGGACCCAGGTGACCACATGGGGAAAGTACTTCTCAAAGGGCCTCTTTCATAAGATGGACGATGCTTCTCCATCTGGCTTCTCCTGCGTGCCATCTTATTTCAAATTAAAGTCAAAACGGGGAAGTCTGGAGACTGGCTTTTCTTTTCAAGGTTGGAGTCCTTTACACTTGGGAGGTATGGGACTGCTTCATAAATAATATGACATTGTGTAGAAAGACAGGTGACACTATAATGCCGCTGAGAACTGAGATGAGGGGGCCATCTCAGGGAGGCAGGTGGCTGCTGGCGTGTCTGAGAGCAGAGTCATCATGAGACCTGAAATAATACAATAGAAATGGAGGTGCTCAAAACCACTGCTGGGTGCTGTGCACCTGTCTGTGTTGTCCCCACTGAGTTTATGGCTTTGCCCCATTTCATGGCCAAGGAGACTGAGGCTTAGAGAATTTAAGTCATGTGTCTCATAGCTAGCAAGTGGTCTCTCTTAAAAAACAAATGTTTAGCCCTAGTGGGTTTGACTCAGTGAATAGAGCGTTGGCCTATGGACTGAAGAATCCCGGGTTCGATTCCGGTCAAGGGCACATGCCTGGGTTGCAGGCTCAAACCCCAGTAGGGGGCGTGCAGGAGGCAGCCAATCAATGATTCTCTTTCATCATTGATGTTTCTATCTCTCTCTCCCTCTCCCTTCCTCTCTGAAATCAATAAAAATGTATTAAAAATCAAAAAACAAGACAAATATCCATATAAATTAGGAAGTTGAGCATTAGGAGTAAATGTTACTTGGAAAATTTCTCCTTTCTCCATTAGAAAGTCTGATTCAGAAGGTCCAGGAACTTGGGGGTCTAGGTGCCTCTGTTGTGCTCTAGAGTGCCCGACCTGTGGCATTTCAGGCGTCAGGCAGGACAGGCTGGTCCTGTCCTCCAGTGCAAGTGAGAGAGGCAGAGCCACCATCAACGCCAGTTAAGACTTTCTGGTGGCTGCTCAAGGATGAGTAGTGCTTCACTTGCTTTTCTGGGTGAAATTGCTGCAGATCCTGGGGCTCTTCACACTCATTTTCCAGGGTGAAAGCTTGCAGATAGTGGAACGAGTTTGTGCAGTGGCACAGACAGCTGGCTTCTGCTCCTGTCCTGTCTGTGAGGATAGTGTATTATCTGGATTCAGTGGTAATGAAGTAATTCACCTGTTTGGTGGGTTTCCTGTTTACATTGTATGAGGTGTTGCAGCTCAGTTTGGCCACAGGCTGTTATCTTTGTCTCATCCATTTCTGGGAGTCCCAGAGGGCCCACATGGAGACGTGCTTACGGTTGCCCAGCACAGGCCATAGCTTTCACTCTTATTCACTTGTTTTTCCTCGCACGAGCCTTGAGGAAAACTCAGCTGTTCCATTTAAAAAATATATTTTATTGATTTTTTACAGAGAGGAAGGGAGAGAGATAGAGAGTTAGAAACATCGATGAGAGAGAAACATCAATCAGCTGCCTCCTGCACATCTCCTACTGGGGATATGCCCGCAACCCAGGTACATGCCCTTGACCGGAATCGAACCTGGGACCTTTCAGTCCGCAGGCCGACGCTCTATCCACTGAGCCAAACCGGTTTCGGCAAGCTGTTCCATTTTACCAGGGAGAAAAACCATCGAGGCACAGGAAGGTCACTGACTGGTTAAGGTGTCCATGCTCCTGTCTGCACTGGGGGACCATGTTCAGCAGGTTTTGTCCTCCAGGGCACAGAGCCCTGATGGTCCCCGTCGTGAGGAAGGTACATGCAGTGAGACACGTGAACATCTAACTCTAGAGGCAGATGTGACACACATGTTCAACTGGGGGAGGGTCAGAGGCCTGGGTGTTTGCATAGACAGGAAGAGCAGTGAATTGCAAGGGGACGGGGATGGGACCCTCTTTAGGGACCCCACAGATATGGGTGCTGTTGCTGAGTGGCTCCTGCTTAGCTGGCGGGAGCTGGGGCTGCCTCCTGGTAGTTCATTTCCTGCAAGGGTCTTGTCTCCTCACTGACATTTGGCAGTAAAAAATGTGAGGCTACACAACCCATAATTATGGTAGGAAACTCGATGATGTGTTTTAATAAAACACCTCTCACTACCCTCCCTCTGAAGTTGGCTTCGTTGCCTATAAAGTTGCTCATAAACCTAAGAAATGTGCCTGCTTTGCATTTTGCTCCTACAGTGATGAAACCCTTCAACTTTAGAGCTGCCCCAGGCCTTGTCAACCCCCTTTCAGAAGGAGCCTTTTCCTTCCTTATCATCACTTTCTTCATATGGGAAGCTAGGTATCTGAGGAGTGTCTCTGTCTAGAGCAGTGATGGCGAACCTATGATACGCGTGTCAGAGGTGACACGCGAACTCATTTTTTTGGTTGATTTTTCTTTGTTAAATGGCATTTAAATATATAAAATAAATATCAAAAATATAAGTCTTTGTTTTACTATGGTTGCAAATATCAAAAAATTTCTATATGTGACACGGCACCAGAGTTAAGTTAGGGTTTTCCAAAATGCTGACACGCCGAGCTCAAAAGGTTCGCCATCACTGGTCTAGAGTGATACTACAGACTCAGCGATAGTATCATGGTTCTTGCACATGTGCCACCATCCACAGTGGAGCTACTTGCCCAAAGTTTAGGAGATGCATTTTAGGAGATGAAAGCATCTTTAGTTCACAGCTGCTGCCCTGGTAGGCCTCAAACATCAGTAGAATGTTCCAGCTCCAACAGGATGAGAATTACAGTCTATGGAAATCAGACAGGTGTCATTGGCATCCTTTTTCCTTGAGAGTAAACTGTGGCTTTGAGTGTACATATCAGTAAAGGCCTGGAGGTCACAGAAGACAGTGACTAAAGATACAAAGGTGGGTTAGAGAGCAGAGACATGATGTGTTCAGCTCCTTGAGAAGATAGACTTTTCATTTATCCCAACTCAGTTTTTATAATTACATACAGATACAAATAATCTTATGCAAAAAAAAAAAGGAGAAATAAACTTGACATTACATTATGCATTCCCATTACTAAGCAGCCTGGTTGACATTGACTGGATGCATGGACACAGGAGATATGTGAGAGCAGAGGAATGAGGCCCCAGCACCTACCTTCGCACTGTGGCCCTCTGGGCAGCAGGGTTGGCTCTGAAAGCACAGGATTCCTGGGACTCTGAAAAGACAGAACTGGGTCTGGAGTTGTGACAGTCTGGGAACTCTCTTCTTTTTTTTTACTCCTCACCCACGGATATTTTTCCATTGATTTTTGGAGAGAGGGAAAGACAGAGAGAAATATCAATGTGAGAGAAACACACAATTGGTTGCCTCCTGTACGAGCCCCGGCCAGGGTCAGGGAGGAGCCTGCAACCTAAGTACCTGCCCTTGACTGGAATGGAACCCAGGACCCTTCAGTCTGCAGACCGACGCTCTATCCACTGAGCCAAACTGGCTAGGGCCCGAGAACTCTTTATGTCACGCACATTGGCCTTCTGTGGCTGTGGATCTGATGGCTCAGTGTGCTGCTTTCCTGGCCCTGTGACGGGGACTTAGCTGCTCATCGGTTTAGGTTCTGGTATAGCAAAGTGCTTGCCTTTGAGCCTGCAGTTCTTTTTTTTTTTTAATTGATTTTAGAGAGAGAAAGGGAGAGAAACATCAATGATGGGAGAGACTCATCCCGCATGCCCCCTACTGGGGATTGACCCTGTAACCCAGGCATGTGCCCTGACTGGGGATCGAACTGTGACCTCCTGGTTCATAGGTCAATGCTTAACCATTGAGCCACACCGCTTGAGCAAGCTTGCAGTTCTTGTTCTTGTTGACACTGCTGACCTTGGAGCCCTTCTGTCTGAAGCCTCCTGAGCACCTCCTGGGAAGGGTCCCTTCCTCATTTTATGGTGAGGAAATTTCCACCCTGAGAGGTCACATAAGTGCCCCAGGAACCTGCAGCCTGTGATTGTCTGGCACTAGACACCAGAGCCAGCACTCTGGGGGTGGTGTGCAATAGAGAAAGATGGCCGGGGTGCTGGTGTGAAAAGGCATACTCAGTAGGGCTGTGAGTTCATTATGGCATGCCTCAGAACAGTGAGACACAAGACACTGGTGGAGTTGTGACTTAGGGGACTGACCATCTTGTTGAGAAGAATAAGATGAGGAAGCCACAGGTGTGCTGTGGCCTCATTCAAGGGTCTGTGCAGAAAGACTTCTGGAAGGACAGTCATTTCTGGGTGTGAGGCTACAGATGATTTTTTTCAATATTTAAAAAATTGATTTTAGAGCGAGGAAAGGAGGGGGTAAGAGAAACATCGGTGTGAGAGAAAAACATCCATCTGTTGCCTCCCACACACACCCAACCTGGGATCGAACCTGCAACCTAGGCATGTGCCCTGACTGGGAATTGAGCCTGTCACCTTCTGGTGTATGGAATGACCCTCCAACCAACTGAGTCACACTGGCTATGGCTGCAGATGATTTCTTATAACATTTTTGTAGTCTTTTTTTTTTTTAAATAAATAGCATATGTTATTTTTACCAAAAAGTGGAGCTATTGTCAAAAAATAAAGATATAGGAAAAACTCACATAATATCATTGATTTCCCAAAGACTTCTGTGAAGTTGCAGGTGAAGGATGTGATGACTGGGTCCTGTGAGAGCTTGAGAGGCAGCAGGTGAGAGTTGTGTGTTCAGGGTTCTCTGCAAAGCAGCTGCAAAGATGGGACACCCGGAATACACTGCGCACACCTGGCATTGCAGGTATGGGGACCTGTGCGGAAGCAGGTCAGCCGTGGTTCTGTGGACAGGAGGGACCCTGGGCCTGTCTTGTTTCTTATGGAAGCAACACAGAATAAGAAGGGGTTCAGGTCTTGTTAGCTCAGTAGGTAGAACCATGCTCTGCACACAGTGACCTCCTTAGGAAGTGGGGCATTGCCAGTGGAAGCTGGTGGTTGTGCCCATCTGGTATCATCATCAAAGTGAAAGCAGGCTCCAGGCCTTGATCTCCAGGCCTCTCGGCACCTAGGGCTTTAGGGGACTTCTCTCCACTTCTCTGGAGCCTAGTGTCCTACCCAGGAGTTTGCAGCCTGCTCCTCTACAGCTAACTGCTTCTCACCAAGAAATCTGCGGTGGACTGGAACTTCCAGTCGTCTGGGACGTCTGGGTCTGGTTTCTTGCCCCTGACGCATCTGCCTTTAGCATGGCTCCTTGGCACGTGCTCCCAGGTGACGTCTGCTGAGCCTGGGACGGCTATGAAAGCTTACTCTACCTTCTGGCCTCCCTTGCACACAAAGATAAATGTGTGGTTTCATTTTACTTTTGTCCTTTAGGTTTTAAACATTTTGAGTCTAAAACAAGTGTTTAAATCAGGAGGCTTTGTTTTGTTTTGTTTTGTTTTGTTTTTACTTTCTCTCCCCTGGATCTGGCCCCAGTTGATCTCTCACCCTCGTTTCTGCAGGCACTGACTCTGGCTTTGAATCTGAAAGGCTCAGGAAGTGGGGTGGCAGGTCCCACTGCCTCATCCCTACATGTCCCTGCACATCTGATCATTGTGTATCTTTGGTTTCAATAGCTACTCTGACCTATGACACTCTCCGATTTGCTGAGTTTGAAGATTTCCCGGAGACCTCGGAGCCTGTTTGGATATTGGGTAGAAAATACAGCGTCTTCACAGGTATGTGCTGTGTTGGAGCCCACTGTGCTTTTAATGCACAGTCTCCAAGTCCTTTTTGTGATAATAATAGTTATCTGCTAACTCTCTAACCTGTCTTAGTACTTACACCTCTGTGTGTGCGTGTGTTTTCTTCTTTTAAACATTCTTTAGAAAAGGACGAGATCTTATCTGATGTGGCGTCCAGACTCTGGTTTACATACAGGAAGAACTTCCCAGCCATTGGTAAGTACTGCCTGTCACAATGTGTGGTGATGCAATGTGCATGTTTTAGAAGGAGGAAAACAGATTGATAAGTAGGTTGACTTGGATATCCTAGTACTTGTCACTTTGTGTTAATCCTTATGGCAACCCCAGGTTAGTGAGCTGGTGAGTCTTGCCCCAAGTTGTGGCAGAGCTAGATTCCAAACCTAGGGCTTCTGACGGTGGTTTCCAAACGTAAGTCACCATTTGTTACTGGGGCTTAAAGTCAGGATAAGGAGTCCCAATCAGCAATGAAAATGGAGAAGACAGTGCACTGTGAAGGAGTGAATTCTGCAGAGGCTGTGGTCAGATTATATATTTGAGTCTTGTCCTGGGTCAGAGCTGTAGGTCCAGGGTGGCTGGAGGCCGTTGTTCTATACCCATCATCTTCTCTAGTACGTTCCACACGTAGTTGTGGGAGAGCTGAAGGGCAGGGTGGATGGGACATGTTTTCCCATGACGCAAAAGTATGTTTCATTAAAAATGATTCTTCAGCCAAAACCGGTTTGGCTCAGTGGATAGAGCGTCGGCCTGCGGACTGAAAGGTCCCAGGTTCAATTCCAGCAGGGGCATGTACCTGGGTTGCGGGCACATCCCCAGTGGGGGATGTGCAGGAGGCAACTGATCGATGTTTCTCTCTCATCGATGTTTCTGACTCTCTATCTCTCTCCCTTCTTCTCTGTAAAAAATCAATAAAATATATTTTTTAAAAAAAATGATTCTTCATCATTGTGCCCTGGAGGCGGACAAAAGTTGGGAACCAGCTTGGCCTGGCTTTTGCCAGTCAGAAGACCTGAGACCAGAGGTTTGGGGCCAGGAGGCTACACCTCCTCAATGCCTAGTCTTGATTTGGTTCCTCTCCAAGAGGTGGTTTCTTCTGTTCTTCAGAAGTGAGGTGGGCGTAAAATAGCCACAATGCTTGACATTGGGACACTGAAATGTGGGGAAATGAAACCATTGTCCCCATAGGTTAATACTGAATGATGTGATTTGTCAGGTGCACTCTGTTCTGGTTGCACACCTGCTCTGAGGCTGTTTTGCTCAGCCCTGGTTGCAGGAGGCGCAGTTGCCCACTTGCCAATTGAGGCATGCTGTATGGAGAGTGCTGTTCTGCAGATCAGATGTCTGAACACAGGGAAAGAGGACAGGCTAGAGAGGAGCCTTGTGCTGTTTGACACAGTCATTGAGGAGGAGGTGGACTGTCCAGGTTCTAAAGGCCAGTGTGGTGTTTCCTCCCTTTGCCCCTTGGACATAGCTTGTTGGTATGGGAGGTGGAGTGGGGAGTGACAGGTACCATGCTGAGTACCTTCTCTGGTCGCACCAAGAGGTGGGCTTTGTCCCTGTGTGCCTGGGCAGGGTTCATGAGGCTCAGAGGTGAGACTGCAGCCCACATGGTCTTGCTGATGGTTAGGACACCAGGGCATTTCCTGTATGTCCAGGTCTGTCTCACTGTACGTGATACCACATGCCCAATGTCAGAATCTGCGCACCAGAATCTGCACAGACGGGACGTGGATGGGCCCAAGGCACACGCATCTTCAGGGCTGACTCTGAAACCTGTCCCCTCCCAGCACCGACCACCTTCCTATTCCGCTGTCTACTGTCTGGGTACTGATGACTCATGGGCACAGTGTCTCCATGTTTTCCAGACATTTGTCCTCTGTGACTTTTCACATATTTTGCCCCTTTGAGAGGGTTGTTAGGACATTTCACTCCTCAGCAGTGGGTCCTCGGCATGACCACCTTCTAGGTTGTGTGTTGCCGAGATGGTGCTGACACCTGCAGTGTAGAGTGACCTGACTGGAGTCTGCTCTCTCTGCGCCACCACAGGGGGGACCGGCCCCACCTCGGACACGGGCTGGGGCTGCATGCTCCGCTGTGGACAGATGATCTTCGCCCAGGCCCTGCTGTGCCGGCACTTAGGCCGAGGTGAGTCACGCTGGGGACAGTGATGTTCTCAGGAAGCAAGGACTATGGGTGCAGTTGTGTAAACACAGATGAGGATTCAGGGGCTTCTTCAGTAATGATCCACTGGCTTTCATTGATTTTTTAAAAGTGACTTTAAAGAATGCTGATAAATGTTTGTCTTCAGAAATTCTCTTTAAACCCCTGAAACCATTGTTTTCTGTATGGATTTGTGTTGATGGGTTGGCATTTTTGGAATCTTGGAAAGGGCTTTTAACTTGATCACAGTTCAAAGCAGTTTGGATACCATCTGTGTCTTCACTGTTGCATAAAGTAAAGGCTTCTTTCTCACATTTGGTAAAACTGCACTTCTGCACCTGTCTCCACTAGATTGGAGGTGGACACAGCGGAAGAGGCAGCCGGACAGCTACTTCCACGTCCTCAACGCATTCATCGACAGGAAAGACAGTTACTACTCTATCCACCAGATAGGTGGGTGGGAGCAGGGTGCCCATGTCTTGGCTGTTTAGCTAAGCAGTGAGTCTCGGGGTTCTCAAGAGCTTTGTTGTATTGTGATGTGTATGGCATGAGGCTTGTCACCACTGTGGGCTCCTGGGCTAGGCTGCTCGTCACAGCATCTCTGAAAATTAGATTCAGTGAGGGAGTCTGAATGCTCCTGTGTTTTGAGTAAGTCCAACTTCTGAGCATCATGTTCTCAGTGTAGAAGGAAGTAAAAATACAGCTCTGAATTCAGTGGGTCATTTCACTTCTTAATCCTACTCCTCATTGAAGGACTGGAATCCTGGCTCATAGTGAAGGACAAACCTTGAGACAGCGTTTATCCGTTTTGGATGAAGCGCCCTGGTGTCCGTCAGCTCATGCTGGAGGCAGGTTTGGGTGTGCCTGTCCAGGCTTCCTGTAAAGTGTTCCTCAGCCACATGCCTCCAGGACCAGCCTCTTCTAAGGGGGGGGGGGGGGGGGAAGGGATATTGATGGTTGATACGTGTGTGTCACTAATCAGATCTGTTTCCTGCAGCGCAAATGGGAGTTGGCGAGGGCAAGTCTATTGGCCAGTGGTACGGGCCCAACACAGTCGCCCAGGTTCTCAAGTATGTACCAAGCTCCATCCCTCCCATATCTTTGGGGAACATGGCATGCATAGATGTACCTGGGGTGTTCAGACTCTCCTGAGGCCTGTTGCTAAAGGACATAAGGGGTCTCTTACTCTTCAAAGCCTTAAGGAGGGTCCTCAGAGGTGACCATCCACGTGGTCTTGAATTGGAATTTTGTTTTCTAATGGAATGAATACCTTCATCCAGGTTGCACCCATTAGTGTGGGCCTTTTTGTGTGTCTAGTGGTGGATCCATCCATCACAGTGGTCTGATGGTCAGGGAAGTTGGAACTGATCGGGAATGACAACACTGTGGTGAGAAGGCGGCCCTCCATACAGGCTCTGTGGGGCTCTGCCTCTGTTCTGACTGTCTCCCCCCTTCTCTGAAACCTGTTTCCAGCCTTGGCCTCGCTGTCTGCCCCTCTGCTCCCTACCCCCATGGGAGGCTCCCACAGGCGCCCCCATGTGACTTCCTGGAATTGCCCTTCTCTTCCCTCCACGTGGTGGATGACTGCCGTCTCAACCCAGCTGTCCTCGGCAGGTTTCTTGGGATCCTCCAGGACACTTTCTTCTCTTACATTTCCACTTCCAGCTGGTCCCTAAGCCTGATACTGTCTCTCCATCTCCTTATCCAGGCCCCTGGATTACTTAGCCCTCCCACATGTCCTTTAAAGTCCCGGGCCCAGTGCTGCATGCCTTGAAAGTGTAGTTTGTTTGCATGGTTGGCCTGCGTGGTCTGTGTGAGCTCTTCCTGTCTTGTACTACTCACTGACACTTTCCTCCCCACTGCTGCCTTGAAACACCCCAGTTGAGGTCACCATCAACCTGTCATGTCTGAAGGCTGAGTTTCTGCTCCTACTCAGCCATCAGCAAGCAACCCTTGGCTCAGGCACTTGCTGTCTTTGGAAATCCAGGCCACAGAGCCATTTTCTCTGGTCCTTCTGTTCCTCTGCCGCCTCAGAATCTGTTGCTGGCCCTCCCCACCTGTAAGCCCTGCGGGCCTTGTCTCAGGACTGTGGCTGCTTCTCTGTACTGTCCATGCCCAGCTTTAGCTGTTGTCTGCTCATACTCAACTCCCAGAGTCACATCCCCCAGTGCTAATCTGTCCTATCAGGATTTTCACTCAGCATCGTAGATCTCCAAGTGGCATGTTGAACCCTAAGCTGAACCTTCCCCTACCTTGCCTGCTTCTCCTTCACTGAGGGCAGCCCCTCCTTCCTGGCACTCAGGCCAAACACTGGGATTATACTTGGCTCTTCTTTCTCAAGACACCCATCCAGTGTGTCCTAACTGACCAGTGTGTCTCGCTTCACTGTCCTCACTCTGGGTCCAAGCCCCGGCTCTTGCCTCCTTGTTAGTCTGTCTTCTCTTTGCCATTCTGGAGTCTCTTTTCAAATAACAGCAGAAGTCATCTTCACATTTATAAGTCAGCCACCCATCCCTCTTCTGCTCAGCACACCCCGGGCTTCCCAGTGAATGCAGGAAGGCTGCAGGTGCAGGCCTGGCTGCCCTGTGCTCCTCCCTGGCACATGGCACCTTTTGCTTCTCAGAGGGACACATCACCTCAGGCTCTTTGCATGTGCTGTGCCCTTTGCATCAGGGCCTTCCTGCACTACACTGGTTATGCCCCTCCTGCCCCTGCTTTGTTCTTTAGGGCACTTACTACCTCATAGGATTACGTATTTCTTGCTGCTCCCTCCCCCCGTGTCAGCCTCTCTAGGGGCTTTGTCTGTCACATGTCATGGCATCCTCAGCACAGCTCCTGGCCCTCAGCACAGGAGCGAGGTGGCTGGTGCAGCACTGCAGGTGCTCTGTTGGAATCCTATCTGGCCTTTCCCCCAAGAGGGGCTCCGTGTGGACAGCCCAGTGCCCCAACCCTCCATTCGTGTCCCCAGACCCATTAGGTCCTCTCACATGGGAGCCCACCTCCACTGCACTTGAGAGTAAGTCAGATGCCTCCACACCCCCATATACTTCTGGTGGCATTGTGCCTTTCTTCCAGAGCCAGAATCCTGTGGCCACCACTCCTCAGTCTTTTACAACCGGGAATCTCAGCTCAGCACATCTGGGGTGGAATTGAAGGGAGCAGAGTGAAGTGGGGCTGGCAAAGCCTGTGGTATCTGACTCCTGGCTCATGATCTGGTTCCCACCTCCACATGCCAACTAGGCCAGGACATGACATCACCAAGAGGCTCCTGTGCAGGAACTTCCTCTGTGCAAAGGGCAGCTGGGGGTCATGGAGGGAGCACTGGATCCTGGGAGGAAGAAACAGGTTCCAGCTTCAGCTTTATTCCCACCTGTGGCACTGACATCTCTGAGCCTTGGTTTTTCTCCTGTGAGAAACGCTGTTCCCTTGGTATCCTGCAGGGCTGAACCATCTTTGAATTGTGAAAGCTTATTGGCGTGTCCTCCCCCTTTCTGATAGGAAACTTGCTATCTTCGACACATGGAGCGCCCTGGCTGTCCACATAGCAATGGACAACACGGTGGTGATGGAGGACATCAGTAAGTGACAACAAAGCAGGGTTGGGACTGACGGGACTCGGGGAGCAGCAGCTGAGCACTTATTCCTCCCGGGCTCACGGGCCTCGCCTGAGGGCAGTGACTATGAGCCCTGCACAGCAGATGGACACCCTAAACAGAGGCCGGGGACCACAGGTTTCCATACAGAGAAGACCAGGCTAAGGGGTAGGGTCTGGATTCTCTCCAGAGCTGGGTTACTTAGGAACCCCATGGTTTTTGTGCCATTGAGGCGTGCTGGGTTGAGCTGCATTTGTGCAGGTGTTCATGTGCATAATGCACTGCCAAGGAAGGCAGGAACAACTGATTTTCTAACCCCACCCTCTCAGGCCGAGATGTAACACAAAGCAGAGACATAGCTCTGCCCCTTTCTGGAAGGATCCTCCGGAATTGAGCACGCACAAGTTTGGTCTAGAGTAGAATGAGGTCTCAGTTTGGCAAATAGCCTGTCATGAGCGAGTTTTGACTTCGCGGTTTACATTTTATTATGCACCCAAGCTGATAGAGCTGTTTTATTTAGTGCCTACTTAAGTTTTTACTCAGCAGCACTGATTCCCCAATGAATTTCCCAAAGCAGCCTCAACCCCAATTTTATTGAAGTTCCACATGTAGATTGTTGCCTTGAATCCAATTTTATGGAAGAGAGAGCACTTTGAGCTACATCCTTGCAAGTGTGCAGATTTGCAGGTCGACGTGGATGTTTAGAAGCAGGTCTTGTACACATGACTGCCGGTCTAAAGCATGGCCACAAGTGTCCCTGTCGGCTCACAGGGGTATTGCTTCCCCGCCAGGCAGTGGGTCCATTCGGGGACACTGTCAACATAGGATTGGGAAGCCGGGGATGTGACTTATTAGTAAAAAGCAACACTGGGCCCTAGCTGGTTTGGTTCAACGGATAGAGCATCGGCCTGGGGACTGAAGGGTCCCAGGTTCGATTCCAGCCAAGGGCACATGCCTGGGTTGCAGGCTTGATTCCCAGTGGGGAGCGTGCAGGAGGCAGCCAATCAATGATTCTCTCTCATCATTGATGTTTCTCTCTCTCTCCTTCCTTCTCCCTTCCTCTCTAAAATCAATAAAATATATTCTTTTAAAAAAAGTAACACTGGTTTCTGCAGCTCTGAACCCTCTGGTAGATACCTCATCCCTTAACAGTTCTGTTCCTCTGAGAGGGGATTAACTTGGAACCACAGCAGAAGGGTGTATAGTTCTTCCTCTTGCCTTTTCTCCATATTCCATTTCCTGAAATTTTTATGGTACATAGAAAACTTAGGAAATGTGCAAAGAAGGGGGAAAATCACTTGATTTTACCTTTCAGAAATAGCTCATGTTGACATGTAAACATAGTTGGTTCCAGTGTGGGTTTTTTTGTTTTTTGTTTTTCCAAAAGAAAATACATAGGATCTTAAGCATTTTTTCAGCAAAGCAGAAAGTGGAGAAACAGTGCCCAGTTATAATTCTTACTGTCTGGCTGCTCAGTTCTTCGTTACACCTTAATTTCTTTTTGGGGGGATTGTTCTTTACCCTCCTCAGGGTCTAGCCCAGTCACTGGTCCAACCCCTGGCTTCAGACTACAGACTGGTTGCTCCAGGGCAGTGGCCAGGAAGAGATAGGGGGCAAGTGGCTTTCCAGAACCTCCATCTATCTTGAGTGGGGGTGATGCTGGTGAGGGCCCTCTCCAGTCTCTTCTGGGAGTCTTGGTCATTCAGAGCAGCCAAGCTGGAACTGAGATGAGACGTGAACCCGGGCTTATCCCAGGAGCTTGTGGATCTGGTTCTGAGGATGGTCTGACCTGCATTGTTAACAGGCTCTCAAGTGGGATGTGTGTGGCCACCTGGCCAAGATCAGGGCCTAGTCTCACTGCATCGTCCTTCCCTTCCTCGGATCAGGAGTTATGGGTGCACATCACAGGAACAAGTGGAGGAGGTGTGCCCATATTTAGGAAGAAGAGCACCAGAACACAACCAACAACAACACTGGGACTGAACACAGTGTAGTGAGGTGTGGGGTGAGGAGTGAGGGGAGGTGATGTGATTCTAAATGGCTCATCCTGATTCCTTTGAGCTTTGAGAGCCTAGGCTTCATGAAGACAGGTCAGCTGCTTTCCTGGTGTGCTGCTGAGTTACCTAGGGCAGCAGGCTGGGGAGGGAGGCTTGGGTTCAGCAAAGCAGAAAGTGGAGAAACAGTGCCCAGTTTCTAAGAAAAGCCTGTTGATGTCAGAAATCTCATAAGTCCCTTTCCGGTGATAGAGGTTGCTTACAACGTTCCTGCTCAGATTTTATGGGAAATGTGCCAGGTTAGGGGACACTTCATTCCTTAGATTTCCCTGCCCATCCACCCACCCACCCCCTAAGGGCCCGCTAGGACGTCCAGAACAGGCCCTGACCGTGTTTAATGTTGATAAGAGTCACACCTTTGTAAGCACAGTGGACTGTGGGAAGTCATGGAACCGAGGGAGAAATAGATTGGAAAAGATAATCTGGCAGTAAGTACAGGTGACATGGATGAAAACCGATGAATACAAGAATAATCAGAAAAGCTGTGGGGCAAATAATCCGATGGCAGAAGTAGAAATAGAGCAAAATAGAAATAATCGTGTGGGTTGGAATGGCAGGAGAGAAGGACAGGGTGAGAATAAAGGAATTGGAGCTGGAAGAAGAGTTGAGCCTTTAGCCTGGCTGGTGTGGCTCAGCAGTTGAGTGTTGACCCAGGAATCAAGAAGTTGCTGGTTTGATTCCCTGTCATGGCTATTGCCCGGGTTGCAGGCTTGATCCCTTGTAAGGGGTGTGCAGGAGGCAGCCAGTTGATGATATTCCTCTCTCATCGATGTTTCTATTTCTCTATCCCTCTCCCTTCTTCTCTCTAAACATCAATACATATTTTTAAAGAAAGAGTTGAGCCTTTAGAGTTAACCTTAAATTTTTAAAATCAAGAATGTATAAAATATGCATGTGTCTGGTGACATTTCCAAATTGCAAAAATGAAGAGAAACTTTTATAAGCATCCAAATAATAATAATAATAATAATAATAATAATAATACTGAGAAGAAAGGCTGTTCACTGGTACTACAGCCTCATCTTCCTGCCACCAAATACCAGAAAATGTTCAGAATTCTGAAAGACCTGGGTTCAGGAGGTCGGGAAGGCAAATATATTGTTTAGTAGTTGTCATTGATCAAAAGACAAAAAACAGGACATAAAAAGCTTTAAAAAATGTTATGAGAGCTCTAGAAAATTACAAATGGGTTGCTGGGACAAAGGAAAACCCATTTATTAACAGGACACTTGTGACGTAACAGGCCACAGGCAGGCTCTCGAGTCCCAGGGTGCACCTGTGACAGGTCCTGCCCCATCCTGAGCCAATTCATGTTTCTGGTGTTCTGGTAATAGAAATCAAGTCAACAAGAGAATGTTCTCATCACAAAGTATAGTCTCGAACGCAGGGAAGCAAAACTTACGTCAACAAAGAGACCATGACAGGTCAAATAAGTTAAAACTAAGTTACAAAAAACCAGCATAACACAGAGTATAATAGATGTGTGCCAAAGACTAGGTTCTTTGGCAGAGTGTACCTCTTTTAAACGTTTGTATAAACTAATGCAGAATAAATAAGAAAAAAGACAGAACTCTGCTACCTCGAAGTTTAAACCTCTGTCTTAGCTTTTGGGTCAAAGGAAGTCAAGTTAACAGACTACATAGCAGAATTTGACTTTTACGGAATTCTGCACCTTCATACTGGTGATCAGAGAGTAAAAAGTGAAAATGAAGTTGGAAAAGAACAAAACTGTCAGAAGAAACCCCCAAAGAGTGGTATGATGACACCAAATACAGAGATTGATGATTTTAAGGGAGAAATGATAGAACTAATAACTTCCTGAACTGGCCCTTTCAAAAACATGCAGATCACCAGACAACGACTGCAAGGGGGAGGGGAAGAAATCAGGAGATCTCTGCTTAGAAATTAGAAGGTAAGATACACTGGTTCTGCTGTGTGGGTTTTCACCTACCCACCAAGCAATTTGATACCAACTGGGTGTCCTACAATTCATCCCAGTTCTGACACCATCTACCTGGAGATGGTGTCAGACCCCATGAGTTAAGGCCTCAGTCCTACAAGATTGCATCCTGTCCGCCCTCCTCCCTCACTTCAGATGCCAATATCAAGTCCAGGTGTCACCTGTGCTTCTGACCAATGCTATAGATTGGAGGTTCCCACCACCCCCTCGGGTTGGATTATTTGTTGCAGCAGCTCACAAAACTCAAGATGTTACAGATCACGAGTTTATTCTAAAGGATATGAATCAAGAACAGCAAGATGGAGGAGCTTCCCTGCCCTCTCCAGGTGCCACTCCCACCATCTCTACCGGTCCACCAACCCAGAACCTCTCTGAACCCCGTCCTGGGATTTATGGAGGCTGCATTACACAGATGAGATGGATGAAGTCTGCCCATTGCTGATGGAGCTCCCTTGGCTCCTCTGGAAAGTTCAGCCTTTAATCTGGGTTGGTTCCTGTGGCAGCCCCCACCCTTGGAACTTCACAAGTCTTGTTAACATAACAAAACACCTTTAGTTCTAGTCACTTAGGAAATTCCTCAGGTCAGAGCTCTTTTCCTGCAGTAAGATGTAGACCTAGTATATATTTCTTATAAATCACAGTATCACAGAAAGATTAGCCAGAGATAAAGAAGATAAAATCGCACTCCCAGTCTTTTTCCAACCATTCACTTTGAGATTCCAGCCCTCTGCTAGTAGGTACTTCACAGATGAGCTGCCGCTTCCCAACTGCTGGCCCCACTGTCACCCTCTGGAACCTGTGATCCAGGAGCCAGGCCGTTTCATTTTCCTTTAATCCAGAAAGTCCTCTTTTTTGGTTTTTCCTGGTTCTTCACAGCATTGATGTTTTTGAAGAACCCAGGTCAGCTCAGTAGAATGTCCCTCACTCCATCTATTGTTTTCTCACTGTTACATTTGGACTAAACATCTACCAGGGATGGGCAACCTTTTTGTGAGTGCGTGCCAAAACCAGCAAAATCTCTGACTTAAAATTCTGCGTGCTAACCCTAATTTTTTGAGAACATGTTATGCCTACTTGATATCTCTTAAGGTGTACATATGTGAAGAACCTTGAAGAAATAATAAATTTCATTTGAGCGACAAAAACACAGTATATGATGATGAAAAATACATTTATTTTTTAATGTATACATGTACACTGATAGTCCGACAGAAAACTTTATGACTCTGATATTATCAGTGGGACTTTTGCTGCTGCATCACTGATGACAGATTTTACATCAGGTTTATATTTCGTGACCTTCAGAGATATGCACGAGCTACTACTTTCATCTGTCAGGCTACTCCTATTATGAGACTTAACAAAATTCATCACTGAGAACAAAGATTCACAAGCGTATGTGGATGAAAACATGGAGAGTAACGCTGTTGCAAAGTTTTTTAAACAAAAAATTTTCTGGAATGGCATTCCAAGTCCTCAATAGTTCGTTTTCGACACTATTGAAATTGCTCTTCCCCTCTCTCATCAATCCATGTCTATGGTCTTTAAGATAACTTGTTATGTAAAATTATTTATCTAAGATGCACCTACACTGAATTTATCTGAAAAATAAAAAAGTCAATATTAAGAAAAAAGTTGTAAATGGAAGATTATAAGAGAGGGTTTCGCGTGCCAGCAAAAGTTACTGGTGTGCCATGTTTGGCACGCGTGCCAGGGGTTGCCCACCATTGATCTAGACCAAGAGCACTACCTGATGGCTGTGTCCCAGCATCACAGCTGGAGGTTGCTCCTGGTCAGTGATGCTTCCTGGGTCACCTGGTGAGGGCAATCTCTTTCCCTGTGACTAATGGGTGGTTTGAGGAATAATTCATGGTGTCTGCATGGGGATCTCTCTAAGGCAACCCTTCCTCCCAAGTTGGTTGGCATTCTTGTGAAGAGCCCTCTTTTCTTTCCTCCACCATCTCCTTATTTACATTTGAAAAACTTTTTTAGGGTCAGTACATTCATGGATTGTTTTTTAATTCAATGTGTTGTCCATTTTGGATATTAGTCATTGTCCCAGATTTGGCTGGTGGGCATCCGTGCAGGTGGTTCTGTCTTCTGTTGGTTCCTGTCATTTTCATTGTTCAGCATCCCCTTTCTGGCATTAACCAGATCCTGGTTCCTTTCAGCAGGAAAGATATTTAAAAACTAGACTGAGTGCTGGGTGTGCTCAAGGCCACTGGAGTGTCTGTTTCTTTTTGTTGTTAATACTCGATATATTTTCATTGACTTCTTAGAGAGTGGAAGGGAGCAGGAGAGACAGAGAGAAACATCAATGTTAGAGAGACACGTCAATTGATTGCCTCCCGCAGCGTGACAGGGTGTTGGGGTTTGAGCCTACAACTGAGGTACATGTCTTTGACCAGGAATCGAAACCAGGACCCTTCAGTCTGTGGGCCAGTGCTCTATCTGCTGAGCCAAACTGGCTAGGAAATTCCAAAAATTGGAGCTCTGTGCCTGCAGGCTGGAGTTTCTGTCTCTTCTTGACACCAAACCCCCTAGTTCTGTTGGTTGGCAAACCGCGGCTCGTGAGCCACATGCGGGTCTTCCACAAAATACCACGTGCGGGCGCGCACGTACAGTGCAATTGAAACTTCGTGGCCCATGTGCAGAAGTCGGTGTTTTGTGGAAGAGCCACACCCAAGGGGCCAAAGAGCCGCATGTGGCTCGCGAGCCGTGGTTTGCCGACCACTGCCCTAGTTCATGTTGAAAATCGCCCAGTGCACTTAAAAGTTGCCTAAACATTTAAAAGGAGAGCAGTTCCTTGGTGTTCTTGCTGGGGGTGGGGTCACAGGTGTTTGGGGACTTGGTCAGTGCTCCATTGGCCAGGCTGGTGGCTACATGGTGCCTGTTTAAGGGTGGCTCTCAAAGGTGCACACACGTGTTCCTGCACTATTTTCTGTGCATGCTTTATTTCACAATAAAAATGTTTAATTGAACACATAGAAAATGTTTGGTTCTTTTTTCTCTGTGTGCAGCAGGGTTGGTCTTACGCTTTATTTCTCAAGTTTGAGTTGTGTTTCATATACCATTTATGTACCTGTTTCTTTTGAGTGAAGTTGTACCTACTTAGCCCGTAAGAGCACATCTCCATTTTTCAGGAAGATTATGCAGGAGCAGCCTTCCATGTGCGGAGGCCACTGCGTTTCCTGCAGACTCTGAAGGGCACTGTAATGGACTCCCTGCGGGAGCCGAGGTCACCAACAGGCCATCCTTGTGGCGACCCCTGGTGCTTCTCATCCCCCTGCGCCTGGGGCTCACGGACATCAATGAGGCCTACGTGGAGACACTGAAGGTGGGTCTGTGCTGAGTCTGTCCTCTCACTGGCCAGTGGGAGAATTGAAATACTGTTTTGCATTAAAACCCTTCCGTGTCACCATCTTGGCCCCATCCTCCAGCCCTCTGACCACCCTGTGGACTCCTGGCCTCTACCTGGGCAGTCCTGGCTGCCCTTCCCACTGGCCCCTGCGCTCTTCCCTAGCCTTGCTCCTCCTGCTGACTAGGTGGTTCCAGTGGCCTCCTGTCTCCACCCAGCCTTGGTATGCAGGCCTCCTCTACGTGTCTGTGTGCCCTTTTTGACACCCGCTGACTCTTGCCTACCCTCCTCCCACGGCCCGCACGTCCACCTTCCTCAAGCCCATCCCCTGCACAGAGCCCCTGAGCCCCACAGCACGTGTTTCTTCAACTGTTTCCTAAGCTCTTGGGGGTTCATTCTCCTTGGGCCTCTTGTTCAGGGGTGCAGGCCTCCTGCTTGCACCTGCTCAGCAGTCTACCTTTCCTCCCTCCTGCAGGGCTGTTTCATGATGCCTCAATCCCTGGGAGTGATTGGAGGGAAGCCCAACAGTGCCCACTACTTCATCGGCTATGTGGGTGAGTGGGGAGTCCCGTGTGATGCCCCAGTTGGCCGGAAGATGAGGGGGAGTGATCTTCAGGGCAGCCCTGTGGAACAATGCTGGCCCCCCACACCTAGAGGTGGCTTGACCCAGGGCCACCAGTAGAAAAGCAGCATGTCCCCACCCCATCTGTCTGCTGTCTTTCCCAACCTGGCTTGTCGAGGTGACGGTTGTGGTGTGGCAGGTCTGAAATAAGACCCCCGTTGACACCCCCTCTGCTGACTTTCATGTCGTCTTCCCCAGGTGAGGAGCTCATCTACTTGGACCCCCACACGACACAGCCAGCTGTGGAGTTTACTGACAGCTTCTTGATCCCAGATGAAAGTTTCCACTGCCAGCACCCCCCGAGCAGGATGAGCATCGGGGAGCTAGACCCGTCCATTGCTGTGGTATGTTCCCCACTCTATCCCATTGTCCCCTGTGAATGTGGGAGCTTATGGGCACTTGGGTCCTGCATGGCCTTTGCTGCTGAGCTACTTAGGAGATGCAGGTTGAGGCCAAGTCTCAAACCCACCAACCTAGCCCCTGTTCAGGGGCACAGGGGAAGAGACCTGTGTGCTCTGCCATGTAATTATACCTGCTTCATTCTAAGGCCTTAAAAAACACCATGATCTGGGACAGTCAGGGCAGAGGGCAAAGGGTCGAGCCGAGGACGGAGACTATGGAGAGGGGCAGAGGCTGGAGAAATGAGGATGGTGGGAGGTGCCCCAAGGTCCCTGCAGTGGCACTGGGAATGGAAATCTGGCCTCTTAGGTCACTCTGTGGCCAAGTTCAACATGGTGCCCACTTGTGGTGCTTTCTGCTTACCACTGTTTTTCCTTTCAGGGTTTTTTCTGTAAGACTGAGGATGACTTTAATGACTGGTGCCAGCAAGTAAAAAAGGTTGGTAGCGCATGGCGGGTGTGGCTCAGTGGTTAAGCGTCATCCTGTGAACTAGGAGGTCACAGTTTAATTCCTGGTCAGGATACATGCCTGGGTTTTGGACTCAGTCCCCAGTGGGGGCGTGCAGGAGGCAGCTGATCAATGATTTTCTCTCATCATTGATATTTCTCTCCCTCTCCCTTCCTCTCTGAAATAAATAAACGTGTGTGTGTGTACATTTTTATTTTTTTTTTAAATATATTTTATTGATTTCTTACAGAGAGGAAGAGAGAGGGATAGAGAGTTAGAAACATCGATCAGCTGCCTCCTGCACACCTCCTACTGGGGATGTGCCCGCAACCAAGGTACATGCCCTTGTCCAGAATCGAACCTGGGACCTTTCAGTCCGCAAGCCGACGTTCTATCCACTGAGCCAAACCGGTTAGGGCATACATTTTTAAAGGGGATTGGTAGCAACTCTGCTATCTGAGTGGATGGGTCTCTGGCTCGGCACCTGCTTCCCCACTCGTTCCTCCACATGGGCACCACTGTGAAACGTCCTGTGGCCCTTGTATGGTTGCTGCTTCTGGCATCGTCTCATTGTGATTAGAGGATGTGGGGACTTAAGATTGTTCAGGAACTTTAGAATGGAGTTTCTAGTTCTCAGCCTCGTGCTGACAGGGTGGTGGGAGATACGGTTTTTGTCTCCAGGGCTGTTTCCATAGGATGGGTAGGCAAGCACCTTGTTGGATTCCCATCTCAATCCAGGGTTAAGAGCCTCAGTCTGCTCTTGTCAGTGTTTCCCTGATCACAGTAGTGATTGGGGAGATACTGTGCCCCTGTAGGCTGCCTCTAATGGCTGTGTCTTGCTAACAGCTGTCACTGCTTGGAGGTGCCCTGCCCATGTTTGAGCTGGTGGAGCAGCAGCCTTCCCACCTGGCCTGCCCTGATGTCCTGAACCTGTCCTTAGGTGAGTCCGAGACCGCAGGGCCACATCTCAGGTGGAAGTGGGTGCTGCCTATTTTGTTGCTCAGGTGTGTTCTGTGTGATGCTTCTGTCTTCCCTTCCTAGCTTTTCCCCAAATCCCATTACTTTTGACCTTCAAGATTTGTGTGGGCCCTGGCCAGGCAGTTCAGTTGGTTAGAGCATCGTTGTTCATGGTTGCGAGTTTGATCCTCCCCAGTCAGGGCACATATAAGAATCAACCAATGAATGCATAAATAAGTGGAACAACAAATCAATCAATCTATCTTTTAAAAAAATCAATAAGATTTGTATGAACAGTAGAGGGGGTGGGTAAGGGCAGAGGGTGGGGTGGGAACCGGGTGGAGGGGAGCTATGGGGGGAAAAAAGAGGAACAACTGTAATAATTTGAACAATAAAGATTTAATTAAAAAAAGATTTGTATGAACCCCAGATGCAGTCAGTTGGTGATTTATATGTGCAACAAGGGATCAGGGACACTGCTGAGTATCCCCCTCCTCTCGCCCTGAGTGTAGCAGCAGCAGTCTGACTCTCATCTTCACCCCACGTGCAGTCATATAGCCCTGTGCACATGGATCTGGGAGTGTTCCTCACAGGTTCTGGGTTCTGTACGATCCAAAATATGCTGGGCTTTTTGTAATGTCATGAGCTCTCCATGCAATCCACTGTGTGAGTCAGTCCTGCTCTGGCAGGCTTTGCATCCCACTACTCCATAATTCTGTGCCCCGGGGCCTTCTCCCTCGAACAGACCCTCAACTCCCTCCAAGTGTACTGAGCATATGGCACACAGAAAACGGAGACTTGGCATTGAGGCTGTGAGCACATCCAGTTCACACCTCCATCTGTACCCGGGAAGACCAATGTGAGGACCATGATGAGCCTGTGGAACTGTGTATTGAAAGTCACTGAGGACAAAGATGATGGAGCCCACTGTCCCATTTCTGTGAAGATCATTGAGGATGATGATGGAGCCAGCTGTCCCATTCCGTGAAGATCATTGAGGAGGAGGATGGAGCCAGCTGTCCCCTGTCTCTGTGAAGATCACTGAGGAGGAGGATGGAGCCTGCTGCCTGACAGAAACCACAGTGGGGTCAGGGTGCTGGCATTGAGACTCAGGACAGGTGCCCCGTCTGTCCCAGATGGTATAGGGTTGGCACTCCTCTTGGGACTGGTGGCCCTCGCCCTCAGCCCCGTCATGTGCCCCTAGGCTCTGGTGAGCGATGTGTCTGCTCCTCCTCTTGGTAAGTTTCTGGCATCTCTTTCCTGCTTCCATCCCTGCCAGTGAGGCCCCTGGCCAACTCAGACCTGAAGGCTGCACCTCTGCTGGCAAGAGTCCTGATGTCCTCCTGCCGCCTACCACCCTGAGCAAGCACCCTTGCCTGTTGGCCACAGGGCCAGGGCTAGCTCCAGCACAAGCAAGCCAGCAGGTGTGGTTGATGCACACCTAGCTACTTGTCTCATCCCCACATTCAGAGTAACCCATGCAGGTGTCTGATGGGGTTTTGTCTTATTTCTTCTAGATTCTTCTGATGTAGAGCGACTGGAAAGATTCTTTGACTCAGAAGATGAGGACTTCGAAATCTTGTCCCTTTGAAAATCCTGAAGTCGGGGAATATCTCGACTGGCCCTTGCTGGGGTGCCTTTGAGAGCCCAGCTTGGCCTCAGGGCGCTTGGTGCCACCGCATTCATCCATCCTGCCCACCTGCCCACCGCCCATGTCCTGGCCGCCTCTGCCCTCGACGGGGGACTGCATTATGCTCAAGGCCTCACTGTAGGAATGGGACTGCTCGGCCCAGACACTTCGGGCTGCTGGAGAGAACCAGGAATCGCAGGGAGCAGAGCAGCGGCGGGGCTTGAATGTTCACGTCACCTTCGTCCTGCTTCCTTCAGGCTCTCAGTTCTAGGTTTTCTTTGGAATTAAAGTCCTGTTTGAAGTTACTCGACACAGACATGCATTTCTGTTGGGCCTGTTCTGAGTCCAAGAAGACTGGAGACCAAATGAGAAGTGGCCCTGGGACTAAGCCTGCAAGCCCTCCACCTGCAGCCCTCCCATGGCTCTACCAGGCTGCCTAGTGGGAGACAGGAAGGAGTGACCACCTGGCATCTCTTGGCTTTGGAGAGAGAAATAGCCGAGAGGTGGGGCATGGTGCAAACCAGAGACCACCATGCGTGTGACTTGCCAGGAAAGAGTTACAAGCAGAGCCCAAGTGGACTCACTTTCCTCACCTTTAGGTTCCAGCATTTTGAGACGCCCACGTGCTGCTGCTTACTTGTTGCACTGGCTTTCCCTGGGTGGGCCGTGGGTGGTGGGTGAGTGGGGAGCTACCTTGGTCTGTGATCCTTGGGCCCATGCGGGACATGGGAGCATGGCAAGCCTGGCAGGCAGAGGCTAAGGGCACCACAAAACTGCCCTCTTGGTACCGAAGCTTCAGATGGTTTGGGGCCAAAGGGTGAAACCCTGCTCATGGTGCAAGATAGGCACCCCATCGCTCATCACGTCACTTGGAGACATTTCCAGGTCCTTCTCAGCACTGACTGACAGCACCTGCAGCCCTGAACCCTGGTTGGGCCCAGAGAGCATGGCTTCCATGCAGGCTTCGAGTCCTGAAGAGTAGCCTCCGTGAGACCTTCGAACAGGCACCTGGGGAGCTCAGGGAGGTGGCGCCTTCTTCCCGGGGGTCTTCCTTGCAGAGCCCCTCCTCCCTCGGCATCTGCAGTTGGGACCACGGGCGGGGGCCCACCTGATGGCAGAGAGCACCCAGCCCCTGAGTGTCGCCAACATAAGTTAATTTGCTCTTGTCTCTCCCTCCTCCAGGGAAGGAGGAAGGCTGGGCGGTCTCCATTCCTTCTGCTGCATCTTGGAAATGTGCCACCCTGCCTGCTGGGCCAGGGAGTCTTACTGCAGCCCCCGTGTGGTGCAGACGGTGGAAGTGGGTGACAGCCTGGCCAAAGGGGAGCTTTGTCTTAGTGATTTGAAAGGATTACTGAAGAGAGTGTTGTCCATTCTTAGTAGTATGCAGTTCTTCATCGCAAATAACAGTTTCAGTAGAAAACAAAGTCTATTGTCTCTGTCTTGACCTTTCCTCATTAGAGTTGTAGTGATGGAACAAGAATGAACATTTTCTAAGCTCATGTCCATGGATCTCAGTGAGGATTTGTGGACTCATGGCAAGCTCATCTCCCCCATACTAGGCAGACGGACCTCACCTGACAAGGCTCTGCTAGCTGCGACATGCTTCCTGTGGTCCTAAAGCAAAGAGGACGAGGAAACTTGGTTTAGGAAAACACAATAACCCATTCTTCAGCAGGAGTGGTTAGCCTAGTTCGTTGTCCCTCTGGTGAGCCGAGACTACTGGCCGAAGGCAGTTGCTGGTGCCTCAGCCAGTTCCTTCCCTGTGCCCGAGATGTCCTAGCCGGACAATGCAGGGGGTGGCTAGCCTACTTGGCTCCCTGCTTCCTGCCACCCATCCTCTGTTTAGGTGCAAGGGGACCAATGCCAGAAAAGAAAGCAAGAAACATTGTGCTGGTCCCCAGGTGAGTGTGGCCCAAGAACCCGAGTCATGGCCTCTGTTAGCATCTGCTGTAACAGATCTTGCCCAGTGGCTTCAAACAACAGACATTTAGGTCCTGAGGCAGTGGTCAAACAAGATGTTAGCAGGGCACGCTCCTCCTGTGGCACCTGGGACGTTTCCTCGCCTTGTCCAGCTTCTGGAAGCTGCCCTCCACCCTCAGTGAAGATGCCTTTGCACCCTCCCTCTGGCTCGGCCTCTCCTGCTTCTCTCTGTTGGAGGCTCTTCCTGGACAGTCTAGGATGGCCCTGTTTCAAGGTCCCTCTGCCTTTAGGGACCTTGAGACAGAGGTGCTCTTCACAGGTTGTAGGGTTGAGAATGCAGGTGTCTTTGGAGGCCTTTTTTCTGTCAATGCCTCAAAGGCTTCTTTAGGGTGCTGGGAGGCAAACAGCCCCTCAGCTAAACCTGCTGCCACAACTCTGGCCAGGCTGTTTGACAACGAGTGCTGTATTTATTGAAGAAAGTTTAAGTGGCCTTGTTGATTTGAAAGTCAGCCCATTTCTACCTTCGCCCAGCTCCACTGCCTACCACCTGTGGGACTCTGTTCAGCTCCGGCCTCTGAGCCTGCTCATCTCTGACCCCACAGCTCTGAGATGATGGTCTCTACTGAAACCTCCACCTCATCCCAACATCCTGATCCTTGGCAGAGAAAGTTCCTAGTCCAGTTTCCAGCCCTTCCCAGCTTCAGCTGAGGGGTCCACACTCAGCCCTCATCCCAGCCTGTGCTGGGTGCTTAGGGCACAGCCTGGACCCACCCACCTCCCTCTGGTCATCTCACCCATGCCCACTGCCAACACCAACCCTCCCTGACAGCCACGACCTCTCCGTGAATGCCAGCCTGGTCCTGATGTGTCCACAAAGGCAGGGGAGCTACTGGTTCAGATCTCAAGAAATCAACCCAGTTTCCTTTTCATTCTAGATGGGACCTGGTTATGTAAGAAGTCAACCAGGCAGGTGAGTGATAGGCGTGTCCCAGTAGGGGACCCAGGGACTGTCTTAATGAAAACAATTGACTCTGTGTGACTCCTGGAATTCTGACCTCACAGGTGTATAGTGTGGTCTGGTGGATGTGCTGACGCCCACGGACGACCTCCCATCAGCAGGGCTACAGTGAGCAACTTGAACCCCATGAGTAGATACAAGAACCACGCCCCCAGGACCAAGTGTGCCAACACCAGCCGTCCTCATCTTTCATGCCTTGTGTCCTCAAGGTGATATGGAGGGACCAGGACAGAGGGCCAGGCAGTTTGGGTAGCTTGGGTCTGGCTGCCACTGCTGTGCAGGACCTCCCAGCCAAATGTAGGTTCTACCTCAGTCTGGTCTGAACTGTCAGTTGACCACTTACAACTCGGGGGTTAAGCAAATACCACATCTTTTATTTTCTGCCTAGAATCCAGTGTCCTGGCTTCAGAAGGGCACTGAGCCCCACAGTACTGTCTGAACAGAGGGGATCCCTGTGCAGCACCTGGTGGATTCTCCTAGGAAGGGTGGACTAGGCAGGGTCCACGCTTATCTGGGTTCCACAGATAAGGCTGCCCTTCATGCCCACGTGGATGGGGGCAGGATGTAACCAGGCTGCCTGGCCCCTCCATATCACCTTGAGGACACAAGGCACGACAGATGAGGATGGCTGGTGTCTGCACACTCGGTCCTGGGGGTGTAGTTCTGGTATCTGCTCACATGGGGTTCGAGTTGCTCACTGTAGCCCTGCTGACGGGGGCAGGTCACCTTTGGGCATCAGCACATCTACCAGACCATGCTGTATACGTTAGAGCAGTTCAAGATAGAACGGAATGAAATCATATTCCTGGCATTTAGGACCACAGCAGAAAGAACAAAGGTACCAGCTGGCCCTAGCTGGTTTTGCTCAGTGGATAGAGAATAGGCCTATGGACTGAAAGGTCTCGGGTTTGAGTCCAGTCAAGGTCACATGCCCAGTTGTAGGTCCAATCCCCAGTAGGGGGCATGTAGGAGGCAGCCAGTCAATGATTCCCTCTCCCTTCTCTGAATCAATAAAAATAGATTTTTTTTAAAAAGGTACTAACTATGTTTAGATGAAATGGGACATCATACCTCAAGACACAGCCAGCCAGACCCAGTGAGGCCAGTCCAATGGGGATGGTCCAGAGAAGCCCTACTGGGCCAGCGTAGGGCCCTCCCACCCAGAAGGACTCTAAGGAGAGGAGGCTTTCGACAACGTACTTTCAAAGTAACTTTTATTCATGCCTGTAAGAAATTCAGATTTTAAACTGATTGCCACATCAATTATCTTGAACCTGCTTGGATATGGTTATCATTAAGTTTCAATAAAAGGCGCAATGATTTATCAACATCCTCAGGGTGAAAGAGGGCAGAGGAAGGCTGAGTGACATACCACGAAGTCCCTGTGCCCCGGCCACTCGAGAGGCTCATCGTAGCTCTGCTTGTTGTTGACTTGTGCACAGCCCCCATGTTGTGCAATGTGAACACTGCACATCAAGCCTTTCATAAGGCTCCGGCCTCGCAGGACCCAGGGAAGGGGACAGTCCCTCCACATTTATGTCCACAGCTTCCCCAGCGGCCTCTGCGCTGCGGCCTGGATGATATCCTCAGAGAGTGTGCGGATCTCCTTGTGGACGTCTTCAATGCTTTTGGAAGCATCAACCACCTATTCCCATGGGATGTCAGGAGAAAAAGGATGGTTAATGCTCTTCACCTTTGTCGGTGAACATGTGGATTTCAGACAGGGCTGGGTCTGGGAAGAGCACAGTACAGGCCCCTTGGAGTCCTTCAAACATTTCTGACCCTCAGCCCCAGCTGGGCCAGGAGGGCTTTGCTTGTATCCTTGGGGCGAAGCTAACCCACATACCTGCTGCATCCCAGAAGCAGAATAAACACCCCATCCTCCTGATCGTCTTCCTCCTCCCCGTGACTCCCCCAGGTAACCACACATCAGCTCTCCTCAGGTCTGGCTGAGGAGGCAGAGAAAGGGCAATGCCTGTGCTAGGCTATATTCCCACACATCCTCGGCCACAAAATTCACTCATTAAATGCTGTGTTCTCATGGAAAGCATGAGGACCTCTGGTACCAAGGGAGCCAGCCCACGAGAAAACATCTCCACCAGGATGTGGGAGACTGGGGATTCAAGTCCTCCTACCATCGATCTAGGTCTAGGCCAGTGATGGCGAACTCATTTTTTTGGTTGATTTTTCTTTGTTAAATGGCATTTAAATATATAAAATAAATATCAAAAATATAAGTCTTTGTTTTACTATGGTTGCAAATATCAAAAAAATTCTGTATGTGATACGGCACCAGAGTTAAGTTAGGGTTTTTCAAAATGCTGACACGCCGAGCTCAAAAGGTTCACCATCACTGGTCTAGGCCAAGAACAGCCAATTCTGGAAAAGCTCCTGGGGGGTGTAGACGAACTCAGAAAAATGCAATATGAGGTCTGACTAGGCAGAAATGAGAATGACTCCTGAGACCCCACACAAGTACACCCCGAAGGTCACCTCGCCAGCCACTGCTCCAGCAGCACAGCTCTTACACAGACCTTCCCGGACAGCAACACTGGATGGTGTGAGGGGCGTTAGCCACCAATTAATTTTCAAATGGTCCTCGGGAAGTTTTTGTACTATACCTGCAACTTTTCTGGAAGTATCTTATTGCTTAAAAACTTTGAAAAAGAATGCTAAAAAAAGACAAAAAACTTTCAGATAAACAAAAGCTGAGAATTCTATGCTAGGAGACCTGCCCTACAAGAAAAGGCAGTTCTTCAGGCTGAGGGAAACAAAACATGACTGGAAGCGTGGAAGGAGAGATGAGCACCAGTGTGGGCCAGTGGGAAATAAAGTTTTCTGATTCATATTCCTAGCACTCTACATTCTTGGCTTGATCCTTGCAGATGTTGAAATGTGTTATGTGAATCATTTAAATCCAGGGTTCAGTGTGAGACATTCCACCAGTACATGTGAAAGCCATGTGAGGCTCTATGTTGCTACTCCCTCATAGGGAGGAAGGGCTCGTGGTCACCCGACAGGCCATGCGGCTCCGCATTGACCTGAGCACACATGAAAGAGAAGAGAAACCAGCCCACCCCAGCAGCAGGCTCAGCTCCTAGGACGGAGGTGGGGAAGCACACGCCAGATGACAGGGTCAATAGCTTAACCTTTCAGAGTCACATGGTTGCAGCGTGTGACCGGCAGTGGACCTGGTCAACAGAGGATAAAAGTGGCTCTCTCGAGCCTGGGGTGGCACCTGCAGCACCGCCTGACCCCTAGAGCCCAGGCACTCAGATGTGCCCGAGAGAAGGCAGTGGTGGGATCTGCTTTGGCACTGCTGGCAGGAACAGTAGCTCATCTGCAGGGAGGGAGGAGTAAGGCTGATGCCTGGGACTGAGGCCAGGGCACCGGATGATGGGCGCTGAGATGAAGGAGAGCCCCAGCACAGGGAGATGGCTGAGTGGGCCATGGGGGTGGTGTCGGGGCTCAAGCACCCCAGGCCAGGCCAGCAGAGTCAGGAGCCATCTCCTGCCCAGGAGCTAGTAAGGAGACAGGCATGCCCCCCACAAGTGGTGCAGGAACACCCAGGAGCTGGCACTGTGCAGGACAAGGGGCGTAAGGGAGCAGTCTCTGACCCAGCAGCTGAAAGGGGGTGGACTGAGGGCTGGCCCCCAAAATGGACAAGTTCAGACTTCTGATGCAAGGACCTAAGCACAGACTGCAAGATAAAGTATTACTCTTCCAATAAGCATGGCAGGTGATGTGAGGAGTAACTCAGGGATTTTATGTTCTGGATGACAAGGTCACATGGCTAATGCTCAGCAGAGGACAGGAACCTGCTGAGCAGTCAGCTCTGGAAAGGACCCACCAGGTAGGATTGCTGCTGTGGGGCTAGTGCCTGTCAAACTGTCCTCCAACCCACCTACAAGACACCCAATTTCCACACTTTGAGAAGCTGGCACCGGGACCCTGAGGGTGCGCACGCTCCTGGGTGCAGCTCTGGCACTAGGGTGACTCACCTTCCAATTTACGGTCCTGTCCTCCATGAGCTGGTAGTAGCATTGCAGTACCCGTTCCTGGAAGGCCCCATCCTCATAGCGTTCTTGGCCGAACCCGCCCCGCTCCACAACCTCTGCCAACCTCAGCTGAAGAAACACGACCAGGTCTGGTTTGGGAAGGCCCACGTCTGGCTGCTTGCACCAATGCAAAGAGAAGCTCTGCAGCAAAGAAACTGATGATCAGAGAAAGAAGCTGAATGGGGTCTAATGTGTTGTTTTAAAATCCATAAAAAAGGAGGGGAAATGAGCTACCATTTCTTGAGACAGCAAGAAGTGAGGATCCCAGTAGTGACTTGATTTTTTAGATCATGAATGTTTTACTATTTCCCATGGCACCTCCTTCTGGTTTAATTTTGTGAGCACATTCAAGTGGATAGAGCTCTGGCCAGTGTGGCCCACTTGGTTGGGCATGGTCCCTTGCACAGAACTATTGCTGGTTCAATTCCCAGTCAGGGCACATGCCTAGGCTGTTGGCTCAATACCAGGTAGGGGGTGTCTAGGAGGCAGCCAATCAATGTTCTACTCACATCAATGTTTCTCTTTCTCTCCCCTCTCCCTCTTTCTCTAAAAATCAATAAAATATCCTCTAGTGAAGATTTTTTTAAAAAGGTATTTGGGGGATGCATACTGAAACATTTATGAAGCAAATGATGTGTCTGGTGGTCACAGTACTGGGTGATTTATCATTTTCTCTGCTGGTACATATTTGAAACTTTCTAAATAAAAAGCAGAAATAAGGGGCAGTACAGTCACTGCCATTCTACCTGGGACAGGAAGTCAGGAAAATATAAACAAAGCACCAGATGCTCTCACCATCTGGTCTGGACACAAGGCTGGGATGGAAAGCCCTGCTGACAGACCACCTCTGGAAATGTGTGATGTGAAAACAAGCTGCATCTACACCAGTGTTTGCCTTTCCCTTAGATAAGACCAGATTCCAGCGGATGGACATAAGGACCACACAACTTGCTGTGTGATGTCATGGCCCTGCTCTAGACAGTCACACTAGCGGCATCCCACCGGGCTGGGCAGCACTCACCTCCTTGGCATTGGTAAAGGCAACACCAGAAAACGCATATCTGTCCACGATGAGGGTGATGCCCTGGCTCAACCTTTCCTTAATCAATGGCCTAAAAAAACAGAAAATGCTTCTGAGCCATGGACCCAACTCCACATCCCCAGAACCGTCATGTTACAATCATCCTGATAACAATTCAGTAATTCAGTAACCTGACGGATTACGGGCCAGTGACTTGTAACCTTATTCTTATTGAAAGATTTAAAAAAAAAAAAAAAGAGCTCTGGATCTCCTCCTAGAAGATGCCACACAGGCACTCCCAGCAAAGCCCAATGTGAAACACAAGTCCCCTAAGGAACCACAGACATCACTGACAAAGATGGCAGGGAAGCCTGTGGGCAAGAGTGGAGCAGTGCACTCGGCCAGAAGATGATGCTGAAAACATTCTCACAGGTGACAGTAGCTTAGGAAGATGTGCAAAGACAAAGGTTTGACATCAGCAAGAAGCATCGCTTGCACTTTGGGGAACAAAAGGATTTTTGCCACCTGTGACCTGGATAAGCCCACAGAAGAGTAGGGATGGGAGATCACACTTGCAACAGCGAGATGCAGTTCTCATCACAGCTTCATTTGTGATTCCAAGCCATTAAAAACACTACCTAACCTGCAAACAGAAAGTATGTCACATGCACAACTGAGAAGGTGCAACTGTATAAAGAATGAGAAAGCCCTAATCGGTTTGGCTCAGTGGATGGAGAGTCAGCCTGTGGACTGAAGTGTCCCAGGTTTGATTCCGGTCAAGGGCACATTCCGGGTTGCGGGCTTGATCCCCCAGTAGGGGGCGTGCAGGAGGCAGCCTATCAATGATTTTCTCATCACTGATGTTTCTCTCATTCTCCTTCCTTTCCTCTCTGAAATCAATAAAAATATTTTTTTTAAAAAATGAGAAAGACGTCCATAAGGAGATATAAACCAGTCTCCTAATGTGTCACTAATAAAGCAAAGTACAAACAAGTACATATGGCTGACTACCTTTTCAATAAGGTATATCACACACACAAAAAAAAGGTTATCAGGACGACACATACCTACTTGCTCATTTTATAAATAAATAAATACTTGAGGGGACACTATTCCCCACAGCGGAGGACAGGTGTCGGACAGATGGGAAATGGGAAGGGCAGTGACATATTTTGTATGGTTTTAACTTTTAGAACCATATAGTTTTATGAATTAAAAAATGAAAATTAAATCAACAAAGATGGAAAAAAACCCTAAAATTGTATAGTTGAATGAACATAACCATATCCCACATGAACACACAGGAAAACCTGCCCCAGAGACTTGAACACAGCACTCTCTGTACCCATGTGCTAAGGACAGAGCTGCCTACCACCTTGACCCCTACGCAGGCTCTTACAGAGGTGTGGACCGCGGGCGGGCAGGTCCCCTAATGAATCACTCTCAGTGATGTCTGTGGTTCAATAGGGAACTTGTTTCACTGTGAATTTAAGTTAATCAAAGATATAAACAAGAAAACTGTGGGGGAGCCTGTGATGCTGGACTGCAACAGGTGTCAGCATGAACTGAGTTTCAGTGTAGATATGTGTAGTCATCTCCCGTATCTGCAGGAGATACATTCTAGGACCCCCAGGGGATGCCTGAAGCCACAGATAGTACCAAACCCTATATACTCTGTTTTTTCATATACACATATATATTTTATATATATAAAATAAAGTTGAATTTATAAATTGGGCAATTTCATAAGTAGACTTGTTCCTACTGTAGTGATACCTCACCATATGTTTTTCTTTCCTTGAGTGAAAAACTTTCACCTTTCATTTAAAGGAAGCCAATACTTTTTCTTTTGGCATATGCAAATTGCCAGCATAACTACTCTTTTTTTTCCCCAGCATAACTACTTTTGAGCTTTGGGGCCATCATTAAGTAAAATAAGAGTGACTTGAACACAAACTGATGTTGACTAACGAACAGGTAGCATCTACAGCAGTGGTTCTCAACCTTCCTAATGCCGCGACCCTTTAATACAGTTCCTCATGTTGTGGTGACCCCCAATTTCATTGTTACAAATTGAACATAATTAGAGCATAGTGATTAATCACAAAAACATTATGTAATTATATATGTGTTTTCCAATGGTCTTAGGCGACCCCTGTGAAAGGGTCGTTTGACCCCCAAAGGGATCGTGACCCACAGGTTCAGAACCGCTGATCTACAGTGTGGAGATACTGGACCAAAGAGGTGAGTCACATCCTGGGAGGGACAGAGGACATTTCAAGATTTCATCCTGTGACTCAGAATTGTGCACAATTTGAAATTTCTGAATTGTTTATTTCTGGAATTTTCCATTTAATATTTTCAGACCTTGGTTGACAGTGGGTAACTGAAACATGAAAAGTGAAACCACGGGTAAGGGAAACGAAAGTCGATAAACAGATACAGAGGCAGAGCAGACAAACGTGTAGGTCTGTCCCCAGAAGGGACACCCCACTAGCAGTGACCACACCTAGCACCCAGATGTTGGTTTCTAAACACCATTCCCCACAAGAGAAAAACAGCTGGTTCCCAGGCTGAAGCAGAAAACATGAGAAGCCTAAACATCTTGTTATACCAAAAAGCAAGCTCTTAAAAACAAGGCCTGGACCCTGACTGGTTTGGCTCAGTGGATAGAGCATCAGCCTGCGGACTGGAGGGTCCGTATTCGATTCTGGTCAAGGGCATATACCTTGGTTGTGGGCACATCCCCAATGGGGGGTGTGTGCAGGA